TTACAACTTTGCACTGGCTTTATCAAGTCATAGAGAACTGGCAGATCTTCACCCAAAACTACAGGGAAAGGCAAGTGATCTGCAACCCCCACATTTAATAGATCCATCTGTCCCTCTATCTCCAGGTAAATGTCAGTGGGGTAATGCTTCTCATCACCATGTACACAGCAAATAGGGACAGTCTCCAGGGTACAGATAGCATTAGTTGGTACATATTTTCTCTGTACAAGGGTCTGGGTGCTGCCAGTGTCAATCAGGGCTCTGAGGTTTCCCCATTGATTTTAACCCAAATCATTTTCATGGTGTGGTTACCTTTGGGTTCAGGGTTAGCACTCTGGCGTGGAACAAAACACATCTGCATCAGCTTGGCTGGATTCTTCGGGCACATTGGTTTAACATGACCTTCCTGTCCACACAAGTAACAAATGGGCATTCTATTAGGAGCTCTAGGTGGTGCATATTTGTTCTCCCTCATGGGAGGCTTACCCACTCCTGGCGCTGGCCTCTGTTGGTACGGAGGGGGTATGGGCCTGTGGCTGTCCTTACCAGCCTTCCCACCCATACTACTCCATGGCTGGCCTTTTTCCAAGCAGCAACAAACACATCAGCCAGTGTGGCAGCTTCAGCAGCAGATTTCGGCCCATGCTCATTTTCCCAAACCTGAAGCTCAGGGGACAGCATTCTCAAGTATTGTTCCATGATCAGGATTTCACTAATTTCATGAAGTGTTTTAACTTGTGGTTGGATCCATTTTACATACAGCTCTTTAAGCCTCACATACAGCTCCTTGGGGCTTTCTTCAAGTTCCACATGGAGGGATCTGAACCTCTGCCTGTAGGTCTCAGGGTTAATATCATTTTCAGAATTGCCGTTTTTACTTTATCATATTCATGAGCATCATCTACATCCATGTGCACATAGGCTCCTCTGGCCTTACCAGTCAGCAGTGGGAGGAGACGAAAAACCCAGTCCACTTTTTGCCACCGAGATGCTAATGCAATTCTCTCAAAAGTAATTAAAAAAAATGTTCAACATCATCATTTTCTGTTCATTTTTCCAGTCTAGGCTCATGAATAGATCGAGACTGACCTGCTGAAGACATGGTGGGGTGGATCGACTGTATAGAGGGTGAGGCTTCGGCCTCTGGGTGATTCACATTCAAATCATAGTTTTCAGAGGGATCTGGCACTGTGGAAGCAGGCTCTGGTACTGGAGATGTGCAAACCTCTACCTCCTGCTGCAAAAGGCGAAACTGATGCTGTAGTGCTTTGAACTGGTACTCCTGGCGGTTGGCTTCCTCTCTCAATTTTGCTTCCCGGGTCTCCTGTTGACCCATAAATGACCGCATAATCCCAGCCAAGTCACTCAGCGTTGGTTCTTTGCCATCTTTATTCTCAGCACTTGATGCTCTATTTAGTGCTTCACCTTCCATTGCATCCTCACCTTCCACCTGGTGTCCTCTCTCTATATGGGTTGACTCAGTCTTCTTATTCTCTGTCCGGCCACCTCTTGTCACTCTCCCTCCTCGCATGTTTCCCAAAAATGGAGGGAAAAAAAATCTTGTACTCCTCAACTGGCTAATCCCACCGCTGCCACCATGTGTGAGGGACCAGGCAGTTAGGCATGAGGAGTCAAGAGGGAAATTTAAAACAAAAGGGTTTTATTCACCAAAAAATCATTACAACAAAAGATAAAGTTTTGGGCCCATAAAAGAGGTCAAATAAACAAACAATAACTAAAGCTCTGAACATAAGAGACTCAAAAATACAACTGACCTACTATACAACAAACAAAGGGGACTTATATATTGGCTGATCAGACCAGTTTTGACACACAGGGGAAGACTAACAACAACAACACTACATCATAACTACAAACACAACAAAACTTATGTAAAAACCTATTCCACAAGAAATGTACATTTACTTAACCTTAACTCAAAAATACTCAAATATAATATAAATCTAAACCCCAAAATATTTAAGGAGAGAATAATATGATGTTTTGGCTAAATATTGGCTAAATCTTAAAAATGGGACACCTGGAATCATGTAGTGCACTATCATAAAGCTGCAGGACTCACAAGAGATCAAAGTCTGCAAAGAGGCTGAGAAATCCTGACTTTTAGTCTGTGTCCGAGACATGATGACACAAAATAATGATGTTCGAGTGTTCGAAGTCTCAGTTTACTGCTCTACTAGTGGGTACTAGTCATTTCTGAGAAGTGTTAACATTACAAATAAAATGAACTTCAGGTGTATAATTATCCTTTCCTCCAAATCAAACTAACTCATATTTCTGGGGAACCAAACCAGGGTGTGCTCGCTGCCTGAGGTGATTGAGTTTTTTGAATGTAGTCGTCTGGATTTGTCCGCTACCTGAAAATAGTTCAGAGGTTTAACATTAGTTCTGTCTGCTCAGTACATGCAGCATCAGTTACATCCTGCCTGGAAGAGTTTTTGATTTTGTGTGTATTTTTCCTCAGCTGAACTGAGGGCCTATGAGGATCGAGGGTGTTGTGTGTTGCACAGATATATAGATATAAAGCTCTCTGAGACAAACGGGAGCTTTCTGGCTCCATAAATAAACTAATCATGACTAAAGCTTGAGGTGTGTAGCTCATGAACACTAAAAAAGGCAACACTTGGCACGTGCTGGGATTGAACCTTTGACCTTACCGCTTCTCCGGCCACTAACCAGCGTACTTTCATGTGGTTACAGTTGACTTTTTTTAAACAGAAAGAGAACAGAAACCACATTATTTCAAAATAGTGTCCAGTAAAAATATAGAGCTGTCATTCCCTGAGGCTCCATGTAAACTACTTCATCTTAATTTAAAAAATGGAGTTTTAAAACAAAACAAAGATGATCTCCGTCCACACCAGAGAATATCACAGAGAATATCTGAGAATATCACACTTGATCGCCGTCAATATTAAACTGAAAAAGCGCACCTAGTGACCGTTCATGTACACTGAGCATTCGGTGTAAACATCAAGCAGATGGTCTTTTCCGCAGTTACAGAAGATTTGGCAAAAGAATAAAGTAATGCAGAGGAAGAACCACACCATGTATTATTTTGCATGGACCATGAACTAGCTGGGACTTGTGTCCTGAATGTAACACGGGAGTGTGGCAGCGGAAAACAGACTGGGAGTCGTCGCAAAGTAAACAGAGACATGCACAGTAACAATGAGTGTTATTTGCACGGTACAAAATATGTTAATAAAAATATGAAATCAAAAACTCTGTCAGTAGCACCATGTGTCTGCTTTGCATGACTTATAAGACCCAATCAGAGAGCCAAATGTGAATGGCTGCATCGTCGTGTCCAATGGCCTGGGGCTAGTAAAAATGTACGTTGGGCAAGTTGATTGGCCAGTTGTATCTGTGGGTGTCTTAAAGTTCCCAATGTCGTCCGGTTGCTCTGCCCCTTTGGTTTAAGGAGTTTGCTGATGAACACATAGCTTGACTTTTTGCTGAAGTAGCTGCTAACTGCTGCTAACTAGCCGCCATTCTTTAATTAGCTCATTTAGCCGTGCAGCTAGAGGTCTTAGCTCTGCCCAGACTGGGAGCTCACACCACCTGGGGAGCGGGGAGCACAGGAGGTTTACAGGACCCAGAAGGGAAAGACAGGACTTGAACAGGACCGAACACAGCCTCAAAGACCAACAGGGAATATAGTAACGAGGTGATTTACAGAGTTTCATGATGGACAGATGGCTTTTGCTTTTTGCTAAACCGCTAACTGCTGCTAATTGTATCTGTCTGTTAGTTGGCTCGGTTAGCCGTGCAGCTAGCGGTCCTATTAGCTGACTCAGCCCCGGGTTGCCAAGAGCCAAACCCAGCAAAAAAACCCACTTCGGCACTGTATCCCCTATCATCAAACTGGTCTCTGTTGGCCTTAGAGGCTGTGCTCAGTCCCGTTACGGTCGCAGTGATCAGTCACTAGGATCTGGGACCAGTCTGCACAGAGTCTGCATGAAGGGGTTGGGGAGCGTAATGCAAAGTCATTGCTATTGGCAACTGTAAACTCTAATCAATATATCAATGTAAGTCCCTTCTTTATCTTTGTTTATAAATACACAGAAGCAAAAAGCACTCAGCTTTCTGTTTCATAGAAAAATCAAATCAAAAAAAATTAAAATATTTTAAATGTTATAAGAGGAAAATTAATTTGTTCTTCACTGTTTGAATGAATCATCACAATACAATTAATGAAGTAAAAGTGTTATGGATGACGAAATATTACATGGGACACTGCAAATGACTTTTGATCTGGTAGTATTACTTCTGCAAATGTGTGTGTGTGTGTACGAGTGTGGGTGTGTGTGGTTGTGTGATTTTTTTTTCTGAGCTTCTGCTTCTGAAACAAATGAAAGAAAGAAATGTGAATAACTTTGGCTGCAGATATTTCTAATGAAACACTGTAGAAAGTCAGTTTTACTGTTCATCAAATAACTTTTCAGAGCATCACCTTACTAACGAATCACATTTGTGTTCAACTCTGATTTTGGAACAGGGAACACTGTAGAACAAACATAAAGGATTCTATTGATTATTGACTTTACAGAAACATGCATAAACAGCACTTGATAAAGTTGTTGCCTGCTGTAGTTTGGTAGCTTTTGTTGAAGGAAATTTAATTAATGATTCTGTAGAAACTGACCCTGAGAGTTTTTGTTCCTGTTGATAAAGGACATGTCAGGAGTTGAAGAGACAGTGTGGATTAACAGTGAAGCTGAAACTGTGCAGTGAACATGTGTCTGAATGTCCCTGTAGTTATTTATTTTCATAAACAGCTTTAATGATTTAGCGTGAAGATAAAGTCCTGCTCTGGGGGAGAATTTTGACAAGCTGAATTGTTGTTCTGCAGAATTCATGAGTCATAGTTAATGGATGTGGAGATTATACTTTTATTCTGAAGGATTTGTACCGGAAGTTTTGTTGTTATTGCAGCTTGCAGATTTTTTCGAAACCGAAAGTGTTTCTGATGAGCCAATCAGCCGTCTGCGGTCTCTGCAGCTCCTCTAAATAGAGATGTTAGAGTGCTGCGATGTTCAGTCCTCAGCAGACATCCACAGCCATGGAGCTTCTTCCTCTCCTGTATCTCCTCCTGAGCTGCTCTGCAGGAACGTCTGCTGATCAGAACGGTAAGAAACATGTAAAGATGCAGGAGTCTGGAAACAGTATATGAAAAAGGCTGCTAGTTTAGTAGAAATCCTTGGAATAATATAATATGTGTAATAATAATTGAGTACGGATCAATATTAAATCATCATCCTGTACAACACATGTGATTTGATTACTGCATCTTTCTGCTTAATTACAGAATTAATTATATTCTGTAACAGACCTGCTCAGTATTTGTGTTAGTATTCATGTTTAGAGCTGCAGGGGTGGTTTATAACTTCCGACGTGGCGTCATTACTTCTGCAGGTGGGTGGGGGTGTTGGGGGGGTGCAGGGCGTCGTCTCCATCCTGTGGTGAGAAAGCAAAGCACGGATGTGTTGAAGACGAATCTTTATTTCCGAGAATCTCTTCTTCTTTCAAACCTGATTGGTTGTTGCACCGTTGCTCTGGTTACTCTGATTATGAAACACAAGTGTGTCCGCTGATATGAAGGTTTTTTTTTAAAAAAAAAGCTAAAGTAGAAACCACAAGGAAAAAGAAATTCATGTTCCCCACCTGCACTGAATTCAGATACAGGCAGTCAAGCAGAATATTCACATCATTGTCTCTCTGTCTGCTGAACGTTATATTAATAGATGCAAGTGCAATAAAACAAAAAAACATAGTCTCAATCATAAACATAGGTATCATTTACACTGGGGACCCTGGGGACATGTCCCCACCACTTTTTGAAATGGCTGATTTGTCCCTAAAAAAGGTTTATTTGCACATTAAGAAAACATGCAATTAAAATATAGACAAAACAGTTGTGCATGTCCAAAAAAAGCAACTTAAGCTGAAAAAAACAAACATAACTCGTAACTTCTTGATACAGTTTCTTTTTGGCCAAGTTTTCTGTTCTCTCCTAGTGAATATGACAAAAGAGGAGGGAAGACTGAATCATGCCTACATGTGTGTTGCCTCAGCAGGGATGATATTAGCTACATGAGAAAAGTGGATTTACAGTAGAAACAGATCTGAAAGCAGCACAGACTGCCTGAGAGCTGCACTGACTTAGATGCTGTTATATTTATATATTTTGAAATGTCACATGCCGCCTGAATTTTTGCGTTTCCTTTTACATAAATAAAAACATTTCCACTAAATTGGTGCAGAAAAATTCACCAGAAAGTGTTTAATGATCAATATTTCCTGGGGGAGGTCCCACCAGACCTCATATATCTTGGCAGTGAGGATATCTTTAAAACACTGTTCAGGGATCTTTTCGTCTCGTTCTCCTGAACCTAATATGGTGGATCGTGATATCTCGCGAGCTAAGTGTCTCTTCACACCCCTAAACTGAGCCCCTATGTCCCCACCACTTTTCACGCAATGTGTTGGTCATATACACCTGTCCCTTTTTGAAATGGCTGATTTTGTCCCCTTTAGTTTTTAGTCCAATTCAGTTTTATTTATATAGCGCCAATTTATATCAAAAATCATCTCATTGCATTTTACATATAGAGCCGGTCTAGACTGGCAGAAACCTCGAGCACAACCATGACTCAAGGTGGGCGGACATCTGCCTCGACCGGTTGGGAGGGAGGGGGGGGGGGGACATTGGTGCAGAAAATGAATTATGGTACTGATAATTATAGTAATCTTAATGATAATAATAATAATAATAGGACTCAGCGGATGTTGTGCAGGAACATTGTAGCAGCAGGTGACCCGCAACCACAGCTCCAGACTCCACAGCTCCAGAGCCAGAAAACCTGCAGGAAGTGATAGGAGGAGAGAGGAGAGACGAGAAAGCACAAGACTACCAGAAAGGGGAGAAGTTGTGTTAGTAACATGCAATAATGGGATGAGGTTGCATACAGAGGGAGAGAAAGTAGAGGAGAGAGGAGCTCAGTGCATCATGGGAAATCCCCCGGCAGTCTAGGCCTATAGCAGCATAACTAAGGGATGGTTCAGGACTCACCTGAGCCAGCCCTAACTATAAGCTTTATCAAAGAGGAAAGTCTTAAGCCTACTCTTAAATGTGGAGATGGTGTCTGCCTCCTGAACCCAAACTGGAACCTGGTTCCACAGGAGAGGAGCTTGATAGCTGAACGCTCTGGTTCCTAGTCTACTTTTGGAGACTCTAGGAACCACAAGTAACCCTGCATTCTGGGAGCGCAGTGCTCTGGTGGGGTAGTAAGGTACTATGAGCTCTTTAAGATAAGATGGTGCCTGACCATTAAGAGCTTTGTAGGTAAGAAGAAGGATTTTAAATTCTGGATTTTACAGTGCAGAGGCCAGTCCTTTATCTGATGCAGCCAGAAGATCATTTGTAATTTTCCCCAGTCTCTCTGTGCTTTGATTTAAAAGCATAATTTGTTAAAAATGATCTGAAAAATAGTTAGTTTGTTGTCATATTTTATGGCAGTGATATTGGATAGGCCTGTTGTTATCACTGGGCTCACTTACATGCGCTGATGCTTTCTGTACAGTAGATGTGGGCTTGGCGTTATTCGATTGACATGGTGTTGCAGGTGTGGATGTGATGGATGACTGTTACTCGTGAGGTCAACATTATTGTGCGTTTCTATTATTTTCTTATTGTCGACTCTGTAGTAACCTACACTAATCCCGACTCCCACGTTTTTTCATCTGAGCCCTTATGTCCAACTAATTTCCTACCATAAGGCACCTTATCATGTTTTATCCCAGAGGGCCCCGTGTCCACCAGTGAAGACTGATCATATCTGTAATTTGGGTCATAGAAGCAGGCTGATGATGAAATCTGTGTTCCTGCTATCTGAGGGTAGTTCAGAGGTTTGTTCTTGTCTTTTTGCTTACAAGACTTTGAAATCATGATGAAGTAAATTAAGTTAAGTTTGACTTTTAGTTCTGGGTTTTCCTCGTCGCTCTCTCTTGTTTCCTCTTCCTTCTTGTTAGTGTGCTGAGTGTGCAGACAGAGACAGTCTGAGTCAGTGCTGATCTTCGTCATCACCTGGGAAAAAAAGAGTTAAATGTTATTAATTATTAATGCTGAGTTTGTGCTGAAAGACTAGTGTGACAGAAATAAGGTTTAGAAAAAAGATATGAAAAATTATAAATATGTCTGAAAATATCTGGAGGACAAAGTGCTCGACAAGGTCAAAGAACAAGAAACGTTTCTTGTTATGAGTAACAGCATACTTCTTAATTAAATTAATTGTAAACAAACTGATTAGTTTTTTTTTTCTTCCAGGTCCAGTGATCGTGAAAGAAGAAAGTGATGCTATTTTACCCTGTTCCCTCAGCACCAAGAAGGACATTGAGTCAGAGCTCTTTGACTGGAAGAAGAAAGGGCAGAAAAATAAAGATGTGTTCTTGTACAATGACAAAGCCTTTTATGGTCAGGGCCTTTCAGGTCAAGATGAGCAGTTCAAAGGTCGCGTCTCACATTTTCCAGATGAGCTAAAGTACGGCAACGCCTCCATCATCATCAGAAATACGAAGGCGTCTGACAGTGGAAACTACACCTGTGTTTTTCCAGATCTTCAGCAAAGTCCAGTCCTCATTGAGCTTGTTGTTGGTGAGTGTTTTCATTAAACAGTTAAAGATTTATTTACTGATGTGACTGGTTTAAGAGTCCCAGATGGACTTTAGTCAAGTAGTCAGAATAAACATCTGGCAGGGCCTCGTCCCCACAGAGCTGCAGCCACATCTGGAGAGATTACCTCTCTATCAGACAGGCTTCATGTTTGTGACGTATTTCTGATTATGTTTTTACGCAGCATTACCTTTGTGTCAAGCTGATAATATTTCACAGGCGCTATAACATTTGTTCTGTTTTTCCTTTTAGATCGTATCTTAAAGGACAGATCAGCTGAAAACATCCCAGGTGAGTCCTTTGATGACGTCACTGATCTCTACATCACCTGGATGTGATGTCATCACTGATAACTGGAGACACTCACACCAACACGTTTTAATTTGTACACATTTGAACTATCTAAGAAGTTTATATAGTTAAGTTAAAAGGTTTATAACCTACGAGGTGTTTCTGTTATTTAGGCTTCCCTCCTTGATATAAATTGGGTGGACAAAATTATAGAAACCCCTGTTAGGATGACGCAAACCAATTCAACATCAGCAGCACAAACTACAGCCTCCAAAATTACCATGAAGTTGAATAAACTCTAAAACGGTTTCAACTAAAACTAAACATTATAACTGTCATGAAGTATTTGCTGCAGAACTGCTTCATTAAGCTGAAATAACTTCAAATCCAGGATTTGACTGATTGCATGTAACATTTTATAATGTTTAGTATTTTTTCCTCTTTAGATTTGTCATCAGGAGAAGCTGATCACCGCTCTCAGTGGAGTCTTTATGGATTTTAGGAGGAATTCAGATGTTTAAATTATAAGCATACCTGCAGTTTGAAAACTAATTAAATGACCATGCTCTCCCTAAACACTCCAAAACCAAGGAAGAAGACAGTTGTTTACTTTTGAAAAACACATTTCATATTTTATAACCGTTTCAAACTATTGAAACTATTTAATGCAGTAAAAAGCCATCTCAGCAAAATGTTTGGACACACTTCATGTTTAAAATATAATATTTGATCAAAATGTAATTTTTATTTTGAAATACAGAGTGATAAAGTTAAAGAAAAATAAATGATAATACTGTTGTTTCTTTTAGAGTAAATATGATTTGTCAGAATATTAGAGAACACCTCAGATTATAAAGCAGTCCCGAGCAGCACCATCACTAACTCTGCCCTCAGTGTTGAAACATGTTCTTGAATTAACACCTCTGACACTGACAATAATAACTGAACATTATAGGGATCATCCAATTTTAGTTTTTTGTTGGATCAGAGTATGTATCCCTGATAACACAAGGGGCTCACATACTTTTAAAGACCCCATTTCATATTTTATAACACATTTATTTTACTTCAGTGCAACAGAAAATATTGTCAACATAGCAGACAACAGATTTCATGTGACGTAATTTCAAGATAATTTTTCATTTCAACAAATGTAAAAATTCAGTTTGTCCAAATGTCTTCACTGTATCTGAGCTTCTGTCATGATATGAGTCATAAAAGTTAAATTTTTTTAAATTCTGTAATTGTTCTTTATCCTTTATAACTGATGTGTCACTTATTGTCATGTAAACTGTGTTCACAGGTGTGTCTCCAAAGCCGTCTGTCAAGATACTTAATCAAACAAATGACGGGGCCCTGCTGCAGTGTGAAGTTCTTGGTGCTTCTCCAAAACCTACAGTAGAGTGGCAGGACAGTGCTGGAAACAAACTTCCTGCTGAGGAGCCACAGGTCTCAGAAAGAGGAGGCAGCTATGACATCACCCTCCTAACTACTGTGAAGAAGGCCGACCGGTTCCACTGTGTAGCAACACAGGAGGAAATCAAACATCGGACTGAAACTGACACCTACGTTCCTCTCAATGGTGAGATTCTTCTTAGTTGTATTTTTATATGCAAATAATTTTAATTGTTTTGGATGTTGTTCGTTTTCAAAAATATTGTGTTTTCAAAGTGAACACACAGTTAATTTGGATGCAAAAGTTTAAAACTGAGTCAAATATTCATATTTATACTGAGACTCTGAGACTTCATGAATCTACAGATAAGAGGAAGAATGATAAGATGACCATTACAAAATAAGATAATATAGCTTAAATAATAAGTTAACAATGTTAGGGTGTGGTCCTGGTCAAGACAATCTCCTGAACTCCAAACTGAATGTCAGAATGGGAAAGAAAGGTGATTTAAGCAATTTTGAGCGCGGCATGGTTGTTGGTGCCAGACGGGCCGGTCTGAGTATTTCACAATCTGCTCAGTTACTGGGATTTTCACGCACAACCATTTCTAGGGTTTACAAAGAATGGTGTGAAAAGGGAAAAACATCCAGTATGCGGCAGTCCTGTGGGCGAAAATGCCTTGTTGATGCTAGAGGTCAGAGGAGAACGGGCCGACTGATTCAAGCTGATAGAAGAGCAACTTTGACTGAAATAACCACTCGTTACAACCGAGGTATGCGGCAAAGCATTTGTGAAGCCACAACACGCACAACCTTGAGGCGGATGGGCTACAACAGCAGAAGACCCCACCGGGTACCACTCATCTCCACTACAAATAGGAAAAAGAGGCTACAATTTGCAAGAGCTCACCAAAATTGGACAGTTGAAGACTGGAAAAATGTCGCCTGGTCTGATGAGTCTCGATTTCTGTTGAGACATTCAGATGGTAGAGTCAGAATTTGGCGTAAACAGAATGAGAACATGGATCCATCATGCCTTGTTACCACTGTGCAGGCTGCTGGTGGTGGTGTAATGGTGTGGGGGATGTTTTCTTGGCACACTTTAGGCCTCTAGTGCCAATTGGGCATCGTTTAAATGCCACGGCCTACCTGAGCATTGTTTCTGACCGTGTCCATCCCTTTATGGCCACCATGTACCCATCCTCTGATGGCTACTTCCAGCAGGATAATGCACCATGTCACAAAGCTCCAATCATTTCAAATTGGTTTCTTGAACATGACTGAGTTCACTGTACTAAAATGGCCCCCACAGTCACCAGATCTCAACCCAATAGAGCATCTTTGGGATGTGGTGGAACGGGAGCTTCGTGCCCTGGATGTGCATCCCACAAATCTCCATCAACTGCAAGATGCTATCCATCAATATGGGCCAACATTTCTAAAGAATGCTTTCAGCACCTTGTTGAATCAATGCCACGTAGAATTAAGGCAGTTCTGAAGGCGAAAGGGGGTCAAACACAGTATTAGTATGGTGTTCCTAATAATCCTTTAGGGGTGTGTGTGTATGTATGTATGTATGTATGACGCACCCATTTATATTAGATTTGAATACTTTTTTATTTTATATTATTTATTAAGATTTTATGGAAAGGGGGGCTTTTTTAATAGTCTAATTTTGGGGGGAAAGTTGTTTTTTTTTTTCTCCGTAGCTTCCATGTGAAATAGTTTTTTAAGGCAAAAATTAAATTATCAAAATAAAACCCCCTCAGTTTACCTTAACAACAATCACACCACAGCTGCTTCCATCTTTTAACTGGGTGGCACATGATGTCAACTTGACATCCATCCAGTCTGTTGGGCTTTCTCATCCTTAAGTTTTACCTGAATAATTCAATTCAATTTTATTTATATAGCGCCAAATCACAACAACAGTTATCTCACAGTGCTTTTCATAAAAGAGCAGGTCTAGACCGTACTCTATGATGTTATTTAGAGAAGCCCAACAATTCCCACCAAGAGCAGCACTAGGAGACAGAGGCAAGGAAAAACTTCCTTTTAAGAGGCAGAAACCTCGAGCAGAACCATGACTCAGGGTGGGCGGCCATCTGCCTCGACCGGTTAGGGGTGTAATAAGAATTTGTTAAAACACTTTAAACAGATATGTAGGTGAAAACATAATGTCAGCTCACAAGCTCACAAACATTTGGTATGGGTAAATTACCAATGTTTGTATTCATCTCATTATTGCAAATGCATATGAGGGACGGGAGAGGGCAGTCATAAAACGTAGGCTACATTATAGTAGTAATAATAGTCTTTCTAAACAAAGCTTAAGACCAAATTCCCATGGCATATTCTTCAACTTCTAAAGTGGAGCAATTAAAAGCATCCTGACTGGAAACCTTACCATCTGGCATAGGATGTGCAAGGTCCAGGACAGGAGGGTTCTACAGAACGTTATTAAAACCGCCCAGAAGATATTGGTACCCATCTACCAAGCATCAGTGATGTCTGTGAGGTGAGGTGTCTGCAAGGAGCCCATGACAGTACCAACGAAGCCACAGCCTGTTCACCCTGCTTTCTTCTGGGAAAAGATATAAAGGTCTGCTGTCGTAGCACCAGACTGCTGAGAGTGTAGTAGCATAAGAAAAAGCACTCAAATCTAATATGAAGAGGTGTGTCTCTCAAGTACCAGGGTTGGAGTCACTAGGCAACATGACATTGAAATAAAGCTCTCTTCTCCAAAAAATAGAAATAAGAAAAAGTACTTGCATCTAAGATGAAAAGATGTGCTTCATTGGTCTAGTGTAATACTACATTTCAGCAAAGGTCTGGAGCCAATGAATGACATCATATGGAAGCTATAAAAAAAGAAAGCCTTTCGTTCCCAAAATTATTAATAAACATTTATATAAAATAAAATATGGACTTACATGTAATTTCAAGAGGTGTGTCTCATTTACCTAATGTAGTACTACAATTCTGCATAAGAACATAAACGAACATGTTGGACTTCTTATGGGATTTTAGCTGTGAAGGTGACAGAAACAGCCACAGAGGGAAAGGTCTGAGACAACAATTTTGAGACAAGTTATAAGACCAGGCGAGGGGAAGACCTGTGTTAACACCTGTGAGGGGTTTCAATGGATAAATCTACGAGATTTGATAGGAATGAAAACCGATGCTGAAGTTGCTCTGTTTCTGCTGGACAGGTGTGTAAGCTAACGTTAGCTTTGCTGTTCCACATAAACGACAGGTCTTGTCTCTCTGTGGTCATGTTTGTGATGATCCCAGCTGGTTAGCTTTGTTAGCTTATCACAGTTTGTGCGGTAGAGGAGAAATAGACGGAGCGGTGTGTGAACAGAGCCCCGGTGAATGGAGAGAAACGGGTCAGCAGTAAATGTACAGTTACAGCAGCTGGTGCTTAAAGTCTGCAGCTTCTCAAGACTAAAGAGGAGCTCCTGTGTGTTGCTGCTAACTGTTGAATAAATGGCAGTGCGTGTTCATGGTTTGTTCATCAACAAACTGCAGAATCGCATAGTATCCCTTTAACCGACATTCCCTGTGCAGGGAGTGCTGTTGATGTACACTGTGGATTGTAACGCAGCCCTGGTTCCTGTCAGAACACGAGCTGCAGCATTCTGGATCAGCTGAAGAGTCTTAATGGGCTTTGGCCACCTGATGATGATAATAAACCAGATTTTCATATCTAGTAAACAAGTGCTGACTGGGCGTAAAATAAGGGGTGGTGATGGCGCATAGATAAGATGCTTGCCTTTGGTGTGGGAGACCTGGGTTCAATTCCCAATGTGAGACATCCACCGCTGTGTCCCTGAGCAAGACACTTAACCCTAGTTAACCCCGTGCGACCTCTGACATGTATAGCAATTGTAAGTTACTTTGGATAAAAGTGTCAGCTAAATGAATTAATGTAATGTAACATCTTTAAGCAGCCTAGTTGGGACGTGGTCTCTAAGATCTCTCAGAGGCAGGTTGATGGTTTAGATGAAGAAATCATTGAAGTTAGTTAGTTGTTGAAGATCGATGGAAGCAAATTCTAAATATATCTGTTTGTCTGTCTGAGTTTGAAGGTGAATCGGTGCCAGTTGAGGACTGTCCTCACTCTGATTTCTGAATTCTGAGTGCTCTCAGATCAATCATACCAGCAAGCTGCGTCCTTGGGCTGACTTTCTGGAGGATTCACATGATAACAGTTTAGGGATAATAGGTGATTGTGATTCAGTACAGTTTTTGTTGTTGGCTGGCGCTCCGTTTTGTGTACAATCTGGTTTTCCTACACAGCCTTGGCTCTTTAAAAGGGAAAAAAAAAGAAAGGTGTGTGGACCTTCCCCACAACATTGTTCCAGCCAGTCAGAAACGGGTGCCTTTGTGTTTGTGTTCAAGAGTGATGGGAGGAGGGAGGTAGTGTGAGAGAGAGTTCTATACACCGACACATTTGAACATACTGGATTCCAGGCACTGTGAAGAAGGACAGATGGCCGAGAAACAGACAAAGGGGAAATGGTCTGAAGAGTTTAAACAGAGAAGAAAGTTTTATGACGAGGAAAAGGGCAAAGGCGCTTCAACACTGGAGTCACCTCAGAGATTTGAAATGTGCTGAAGCACCCCTAAATTCCACCTAAGCATTTAATATCCCTAAATACATTTTTACTTTTCTAATGTTCTAATGCTGTGGCTCAGGAGATAGAGCGGGTTGCCCCGTTAATCGGAAGGTCGGCGGTTCAATCCCTGTCTCCTCCAGGCTGCATGTTGAAGTATCCTTGGGCAAGATACTGAACCCTGAATTGCCCGTGGCGGCTGTTCTGCCAGTGTGTGAAGTGAGCAGTGAATAAATGTGTGAATGGCGCTATACAAGTACGGAGCATTTACATTTACATTCATTGGTAGAAGTTGCTATGCAGATGAGGCAGGACCCAGCAACAGAAGAAATAGATGCACAATTAGTAATGCATTTAGTACATCCTTCTATAAGCAAGGAATCTTTGTGTATCTGTATGTATTTGAGCTGTTATCAGTGGAGTGATGCAGAGGTACAGGTTGATGATGACCCCAGGAGTGAGAGAAGAAAAAGGAGCTGCAGAAGGTGCAGCAGGAGCCGGAGGAGGAGAAGGACAATGGAAGCAGAAAAAACAGTGACCGGTACAGGGGCAGTGTGCAGGGCTGAGTAGGCAATCATATGTAGAGATAGAATTAGACAATGTATTATTGTTCATTTATTACAGATGTTATTGATATAGCTGTACAGTCAGCAGAGGCAGAGTCCAGCACAGGGGAAGCTGAGCCAGGGAGAGGCCTACTCAGAGTTGAAGATGAAGGATTTGATTTTTATGCACACACACACACACACTGCTCTATTTTATGGGAATGTGTTGTAGTTTTTGATTATATTTAACTATTTTAGCATTCTGACAAGCTGTACATATGACATGTTTGTGGTGACATGTTAAAATGGTCAAAAAACCACCCCTGGAACACAGGGACTTCCCAGATGAAGTTGTTCATTTGTATCTTAAAGGGAGAGGAAGTGATTCTGTGGAAGATTGCTGATTGTTTAAACTTGCCAAACAAATACATGCCTTCCTTCAGTTCTCCCTCAGAAGTTCCACCCCCCACATTTCAAACTACACAGAGAAATATATATGTATATGTGTGTACTGTATACTACTACAAACATAGTGGTGATATGTATATATGTATACACACAGAAACTCCCCTATATACTGGGAGAAATGCCCAAATGTCAAATAATTGCTGCAAAATATGTCTCCTCATGCCATGAATCGAGGACAACCAGTGGAAACTCAGACTGATAAGATTTTCAAATTATTATTATTGTGATTGCTTGATATTTTAGTAATTGTTTTGTTTTTACATTTGATACTGACTTCTTTTTTTGTTGTTGTAATTATTATTCATCATTCATTCATTCAATTTTTTTGTTGTCTATTAATATACACACACTTACAGTATTATCTATCTTTTTTAATGTTTTTAATATTATTTTTTAACACACACCGCTTACTGTTTTTTGTATTTAATTAAAATTTTTAATATATTTTTATTTTTCTAACACACACACACACACACTCTTAAATTACTTGTTTAATGAAATGTATGGGGTTGATTGTTCTTATGTAGTTTGTATGATGCTTTGGCTATATTGTTACACATTCATGCCAATAAAGCTAATTTGAATTGAATTACTGTAATTTATGCTGGGCATATTTGAAATGTTTGCTATGCAGTCCACTAACTCTGCCCTTTAACACCTCTGACACTGTCAACAACAACTGAACATTGATGCAACACAAAAGTAAGATTGTATGATGCCTGCAGATTGTACAGGTGTACCTAATAAAGTGGCCACTGAGTGTTTGTATCACTGACACAGTTAAGCCCTGATAACACAAGCTTTTAAATACCCTGTTTCATATTTTATGTATATATTGCTTCAGTGTAACAGAAAATGTCAGACAACAGATTTCATGTGACGTCATTTTTTCAGCTCAACAAATGTAAAAATTGAGTTTGTCCAAACGTCTTCACTGTATCTGAGCTTCTGTCATGATATGAGTCAGAAACAGTGTTTGCAGCTGTAAATAGTTTCCAGACTTTTGGTAGAAGTTAGAAATGTTTGAAATATCATGTCCTATCTAACAATGCTGGGAGGAGCAACTGAGGCTGATACTGTGCTTTTCTGTTCCTCTGTGTTTTTCTGTTAAACACACTTTAATCCTCATTTACAAGCAGAGAAGAGACGAACAAGAAACATCACAGTATAATATGTGTCACGGCTGTCGCTGTCACCCTTGTGTTTCCCCTTTTCCCTGTCTCACCTCTACCAAGTAGGCTGTGTCCCTGGGGAATGAAGACCTGGTTTCTGGGGTGCTGACATCTGTACCGCCCATTGGTTCCCTCTGTTTCCACTCAACCAATGGCTCGTCACCACGTTAATTACCTCCGGCTCATAAGGAGAGTCCACCTGTTGCTCCAGGCAGCTTGTCACCGCCTGTTGACTTGTGTGCCGCTGGTATTGACTGCATAGCCTGCCTGTTAGTTGTACTTTGTGTTTAGTGGAACTATCCACATTCCTTGCTTATTAGCTGTACATTGTGTTTAGGTAAACATTTGCATACCTTTGTTTGTTAGCTCCACATTGGGTGCAGTGGAGAAATTCACTTATTGTTCTGTTTACTATTGTGTTAGTTTTCACCAGGTGGAGTGGGTGCTGTGCTCTTTGTGTTCTTTTGTAGTAAGAATCAACCCTGTTTAAAACGATAGATAGGTACAGGCCTCCTTTTGAGGACCTTTTTATTTTAACTTGTTATTTCGCAGCACCCTCGCCCACCCTCCTTTTGTTTTTTTGTTACCTGTCTACATCTCTTCTGTTACCAATAAAAGTTACCTTGTTAAGATCTACCAGTTGTGCCTATATGTTTATGGCCCCAACACCCCTAGACCAACAGGGGGTCGTAACATATGTTAAATACCTTAAACGTTCTTTATAGCTACAGTTTACTCTGTGTTCACAGGTGCAGCTTCAAAGCCGTCTGTCACAATACTCGATCAAACAAATGATGGGGCCCTGCTGCTGTGTGAAGTTCTTGGTGCTTCCCCAGAATCTAAAGTAAAGTGGCAGGACAGTGCTGGAAATGTTCTTGATGCTAAAGAACCACAGGTCTCAGAAAGAGGAGGCAGCTACGACATCACCCTCCAAACTACTGTGACCGAGACTGACCGCTATCGCTGTGTAGCCACACAGGAGGGGATCAGACATCTTTATGCTGAGATCTACGTGCAGATCAATGGTGAGATTATTCCTAGTGGTATTTTTATATTTAAATCATTGTACTTGTTTATGTGTTATTAGTTTTAAAACCTGTTTAAGCGTCTTCAGACTGAACACAAAGCAGATTGTGAAGACGTCTGCAGATCATTAATCGTTTTCTTTGATGATCAACATCTATAATTAAACACTAACACTACATGTGCTGTACATGATAAGCAGTTATACATTCTCAGTGTTACATTTACATTTTAGAAACACGTTTCAGAGGAAAATTTTAAGAACAGAAATTATGAACATTGAGAAGTGTTGTGAAACTCATAGTATTAAAACACATGGTATTTACATTACATATTAAAAAACTTATTTTGATACCCAGCTCTTGTCAACATGAATCCTTCACTGCACAGACTGAAGGTCAGTCCTGATCCAGTCCCTCCTTTGACCTTGGCCTGGTTATATTTATGTTCATATGTGATTATTAAATGATGTTGGTTTATATGAGTTACACCACAAACTAATTCTCACATCCAGGTGAGCTTGTTGTTAGAAATATTACCACAAACTAACTACAATGTGTAACTGTAGTTTAACTGATCGAGACAACTGACAAAACCAGCTTGTTACAGAAAACACGACATGTGACCTACTCAGAGTAAAACAGGTTATAGATCATTATCAGACACGACGCTGGTGTAAGAGGAAGTTCACTAGTGTTCAAGCTCCCTGTGATAATGAAAACATGAATCACCAAAGATCATCACAGATTTTAACTCTCTCTGACTAAATGTGCATTAAAATGTTAAAGATGCAAATTACTTTAAATTATGTTTTACAGAATAATATTTTGCTAAAATAAGTTATTATAATAAGGATATTTCTCACTCTGAACTGCTTGAATTCATATTATTCTAAAACTAATACAACACTAACTCTCCTTCACACACAAACCCAGTAACAGATTTACAAATGAAAAACACACCTCATGAGGGAGATTTAGAGACTGAAATCATTAGAATCTGTGACATTTTTGTGACATGAAGAAAAAAAGAGGATAACAAATGAAGTAATAACTCGTGTATCACCAAAATATACTGAGGATCTGAAACATGTCTTAGCTGAGAGAGTAATTTATTGATCATTGTTGCAAATTGCAGTTACACATGAATCAAATAAACACAAGGAGACTCAGAGAAGATTTTAGTCATTTATTATTATATTTTAACTAGAAACTGAACTGAAACTAGGACCAGAATTTAACTCTGTGTTAGTTCCTGGTAATAATTTGACACCATGGAGGCAGATAAAGGCTTTGGAAGTGCAGTTTTTACTGGACAGTGTGAACTTGGACCCGTCGCAGTGAAGGTTTCAGATGACAAACATGTTTGAATGTAGCTTCTTTACAATTTATTCTCTGCAGTAGGTTTGACTACAAGCAGAACTAATAACTGTAGAGCCGACCCTCCACCAAGAAGCACATCATGATTTAAATCTGGACATTGGCAGTCAGTGCTGGAAGAAGTACTCAGACTCTTTACTGAATCAATACTCACTGTAACAGCAGCTGTGATAAAATCCATATGTGGACTGTTAGCAACAGTCACATGTAAACAGGCTGAAGTAGAGGCGGCAGGACAGAGATTCAAACCTTCTTCCTACTGATGAGCAGCACGTCTCAGAAAGTGGACGATGCTACGACATTACCCTCCTCACTACTGAGACCAGAACCAGAACCAACCTCTTAGCTGTGGAGCCCAGCAGGAGGCGACTGGCCATAAGATCAATGCTAACATCACTGTTCCTGCTGAGACTCATCCCAGTGCTGTTTGGATCTGCTGACAGTTTTAGCTTCTAGATTTCAGGAGCGTGCACACCTTTAGATGTTCTTTGTGCGGCTGTGATGTTCAACCTGCTGTTTATGATGTGCAGCTGCGTTCTGACTGTTACATTCACTTTTATCATCTGTTTCAGGGTCCCCCAAAGAGTCCGCCACTGGATTGGTTGTTGCTGTTGTTGGTACATTTTCTTTACTATAATTAGTATTGGTGGAATTCTGCTTTACAGGCGGCATCAAAAGCAAAAAAATGGTAATGGTAAGTTTAAATAATGCACTGTCAACATTTTTACGATGAACACACAACAAATTGTTTACACGTATGTCATGTTTAGAGTCTTGAAAGTTGTTTTATCTCAGGCATTAAAAATTCTGTTGGGATTTACATGAGGGTAGGATCAAGGCAGGAGGGATTTTCTTCAGTATAACTTTGTTTTCCTTCCTGCAGGTTCACCAACAAAGGGAAAGAATAAATCTTCTGGGGAAACTGTATGATTACCTTAACTCCTAATATTCACACAACAGTATTGGATGGAAATACACTAATTTGCATTGTCTTTCTGATTTTCTGAATATTCAGTTAAAATTTGCGCCCCATTTGGATGGAAACTTGACTTACAGCAGACTTTTCACTCCTGTGAGCGTGGCCGCTCTGATCAACAAAACAACACTTTGCTTTCAGACATGGTCGGGACAACACAACGTACAAACTAGTTTGTTTCGAGCAGACCTTTTTTCTCAATTAATCGACACGTTAACCATACTGAACTTAAATGTTCTGTCAGGTTTTTTCTGTCCCAGGAGTAGTTTCTTCTTAGCTGACAGGTTGGAGTTTAACGAGGTGAAACAGAAGAGAGCGAGAGCAAGATTGTTAGAGAAATCATTCTGTTACTTAAATCCTAATGTGGTGTGAGTGAGTTCCTCTCTTGTGCAGCTTTAAGACAAAAAAAAATATTGACTTATTTTTTGGCGACTTCTCTCTGCAATCTGTTCTTTGTTACTTTGGTTCTTTTAGTTACTTTTGTTCTTCTTTTTTTTAATATTCTGAGTATATACTCACTTGCCCGTGCACAAATACACATCACCTGATATCAGGGGTTTTCCTGGTTCAGAATGGGCCTTTGGAGGGTGACTTCGCGTGACAGTAAGCATGATGAGTGTGCGTTCAGTAAAGGCAATGACTTACCTAATGACCAAAATCTGTGCATTTGTAGTGGGACAACAGTGTGGATTTGTACATTTATATTAAATAAATTTGGAGCTACTCCAATTTCCTCTTTCCTCTCCCAGAGAGGAGCAGGGGGGTTAAAGATCAACTTTCTACAGACTTTCTAAGTGTTATCCCTGACCATAAAACTGGCACCTTTTTGATCTACGAAGCTGATAACGCGGTGCCTGACTGTTAAACTGACAAAAGGGACACTAACCAGAGATTAGCATTTCCGTGAACAGCGTATCAAAACTGCCCCCCCCCCCCCCCCCCACATATGTAACCATGGCAACTGACCTTGCTCTGTGTTTCATTACCCCATCAAAGGTTAGATCCTTGTCTCACCCACTTGTGACATATAACCCATGAAGCCGAACTTTAAATAACCAAAGACTGGAGTCTCCAAAAACTCAAAGCATTTAATTAAGTTTAAATCTTTAGTTACTTGATTACGTTTGCCTCTATTTGTGTTACCATGTTGTTGCTATCTGTTGCTGATATTAGTGCGGAAAAGAATCTAAATAAATTACTTTTGCAGTGTTTTTATTTTCAACAAGACACTCCTTCATCTAATGTGTAATCAATACTTGTTCACAATACTTTCTCACAAAATTCCTTTAGAAATGATGATAAAGAAATGTCATACTATACTCTAGTAATTATCCAGCTTGAATTTAAGGCTAAACTAAATTCCCCAGTTCCAAAGGAAAGATTGTTTTGGATTAATCTAAGCTTTCCTCATGTAACCTGAGCTCCCCCAAGTGGACGAAATAAGTATTACATACCATCATCGGAAATGCCGTTAAATGTATAAATATCCTGACCAATAATGTGACAATTGTTTCCTGTTACCAAATGCTTAACTTGATCATTGAGGTTCGATTGTGGAAAATATTATAATACGCGCAAATAGATTTCTTTTTTAGACATTAAGTTTAGAAAGGCAGTCCCTTGGGAAACCTGAAACGCCCTCTGGGGAACCACGCCCCAGGCAACAAAAGAGCGACACGCAACATCGTTCGCTCTCTCTGCTCTTCTCCTCCCCTCGTGCCCTGGTCTTCCGCTCGGCTCTCTGGACGCTTCGGCATGTGTCCGTGTGCCTCGCCAGGCAACGCCCTAAGAGTTCGGCCAGCGCAACAGGCCTTTGTTCGCTTGAAGCTACACACGCGAAGTGCCGCGACATCGATCTGCCTTCAGTTTGTTTTATTTTCTTTCTTTGTTTTGTTAAAGTTATCAGTCCGTTAAGTTACACTGGACTAATTCAGGAACGACGAAGTTCCATTTTAAGCTTTTTCGTCGAGCCAACTCACCGAGGTCAGACCAAGCCACGTGGTCTCGCCAGCTACAACGAAGGAAATCTGAAAACAGCCGAATTGCCAGACACTGAGAACCCCGGAGAATCCCTAGCAAAAAGCCAGGATCGGGCAGCTAGCGCGGGACCCATGCAACAGGCCAAAGCAGGCCGTCGACAAGCCGTAAGACCTAACAAACATTCTGTGGTCAGAGATTTCCCTTAATGTTAATATTTCCTTTTAACTCCTAAACTCATAGCTTACTTTCATTAGTTCTCCTCTGCCGTATGAGTCAAATGCTTCCCACAATCGAACCTCCATTGCTCATTGTTCAGCCATTGTTTATTTTCCCTGTATTTAACCACCTGTTATATCGCTTTAGTTAAGTTTAGTTATTAATAAATTCACTGTAATCAGGAAACTGTGTGTGTTGCCTATTTCCTCGTCCCTGCCAAGAGAATTGACCCTTTAGATATGAGACTGACTGATTGATTTAAGATAATTTAGCGATTATTAAACTAACTGATCACTTGTAATAATTGTATAATTATTTAAAGCTACCTAGAGGTCAGACTCTAGGATTATAACAACTCCGGTGGTGCCCTGAAACGAGGAATAATTTTTGATTTTATGAATATTAAAATTCATAATTGGGTATTAATTCTCATAAATTTATTAAAATTCATAACTAAATTTAGCCACGCTACAATTTTCCTGTTATTTCTGACTATTTTATAAACAAAATATAATATTAAAAAGTAAGTATAATGTTAGTATAATAATATATTTACATGTTACACTTTATTTAGATAGTCTACCTACAGATAGTTTATTAGTAGAGAATGTTGCTGTGTCACAAAACATTTTCTGATATTAGCCTTCACCACTGTGGTTAAGGTTTGATTAGTGCTAATCTTGTGTATTCATTATAATTTCAGATAATAGAACAGGCCACTATAGCTTACCATTAGTAGCCTATAATATTAATTCCAGTTGGACAAAACAGCAGTTTCTGTGGGTTGTTTTCAGTCACTAAATTATTGTGCAAGAAAAATGCTCTACATGGTCAGTCTCTGATTTGTTTATGCAAATTAACTTGTCAGAAATAAAAACTGTGCATATAGAACGACAAGTTTAACATTTCTAAAGTTTGCTGTAGTGCCTCAAATTTTGAATGAATTGTGAATCGTGAATGAATTTTTTTAATGTCCCGCCTCCTCCAGTGATTGGTTGGTTAATTAAAAGTGACTCCCTGCGGAGATTAGCAGTCAGCCGGGAACGGGAACAGGTGAGCATAGCGTAGGGCCCAGAGAACCTGATTTAGAGAGGGCAGAGGAGAGTCCGGTGCCACTACGCCAAAGAGTAAAATGTGAAAGTGACAGTACCGGTGAATACCAACACACTTCAAGCACAAACGGTTTTTATCTTGTGAGAAATAACAGGAAGTCATTAGCGCGAGCTTGGTAACGGAGCGTTCAGGCACGGTCAAACCAAGCAGCAGCTGGTTTATTAATCCAGTGCCAGGTGCATGTGCAAAATACAGTGGCTGTGGATGAGAGGTGACGGCTGAAAGTCAAGTATTTAAGTTTATGTTCTGCTTGCTCAACAGTTGTTTGATAAATGGCTTTTAAAACACATTCAGAGAGGATTTGAAAGGTTTTGAAGGTTGAAGGTTTTTCCTTCAATTCTGATCATTTGGCGCTTGCTAAAACCTCTTTGGGGGTTAAAAACTGTATCTATGCAAGAAAAACCCTGGATATGATTAAATCCAATAAACATTCAACTTTATACAGAGTTGAATAAAAATTATGAAATGGCCAAAATACTCAATTGCCTAATAATTGTGCACACCGTGTAGAACATATAATTAAGTAACACACAGCAGAATTGAAATGGACCAATTGAAAAACTTTACCTGATTTAAAGGGGCTGTATGTAGTTTTACGTTGAAATTACTTATTAATAAATCAAATTTTCATTGCCTTATTGTCAATGAGCTCAGACCTCACTTACAAATTAAGCACACACCTGTTTTCTCTGTTGCTTGCATCAGCCACAGCCACTGCTTTTAATGTGTAGTCTCCGGGTCGGATTCAGCCCAGCGATCCCGAGCCTCTCAGACAACAGCAACAACACAGCAGCTAACAACATGCAGTCCACTAACGCCATAAAACATACTCTCAGCAAAACACAGACTCCAGGTAAGGATAAAAAAATGTTGATTTAGCCATGCAGGAAAGGATGTAACAGTAAAAAGCAAATATGGAACGATTTGTTTACAGTCTAACGTTAGTGATGCAAGGCAGCCAGCTAACGCTACATAACGTTCAACATAAATTTATTGTGGTTTTACCGATACTCAGGTACACAACTTCTCCATCTCTCAGTCGCTGTAACTAATGTGACCACATAATATACAACACAGCAACAAAACTGCCAACAACACAGACCCATCCACTAACATTGCAGTAAAGTTACTTGCTGCGGTCTAACTGTTATAAAGTGTGACACAATCTCGTTATAATATTCAGTCCAGTTTACTAACCATTTCGTTATCATCCAATATATGTAGCTGTGTGTTGATTTGCGATCTGAGCTGGGAAAGTTTAAGTAACATAACCTGAACGTTGTCTGGAGAAAAGCTGCAGCCTGCGTGCTATTGTTTCTGCGTTTATTGTGGGAATTCTGTATCAAAGTGATTGTGTTTCGGATTATGCTCGCTCATGAGTTCAAGCAAGCACACGTACGAGCACACACATGGTTGCAATCTTAAAACCGCACCACTAATGGCCGCTGAAAACTCCCTAATGCCCCTTTAAACTAAACTTCAAATAAGCCAGTTTTATATAAAGTGTCCAAAGCTAAGGGGCTCGGACCAAAAAATTCACAGGAGACCCTGACTGAAGATTTCAAGCTGCTGCAGTTCAGAAAAGGGTCTTTAATGTATTGAGGAGCTTCATTATGAAATCTTAAACTGTAAACTGACTGGCAGGTAGTGAAGAAAGGAGGGTCCTATAATGTTCCAATCTGCAGCATGTTTGATGAGCTGAGGTATGAATAAAGAGATAATTAGAAGCAGAACTTCTGATAAATGCTGTCTAGATAGATAGACAACTTTGTCCGTCCCAAGCAGTGACAGAAATTCTCCTTCGACAAGGCTCATTAAAACACGCATTTAAAACTTAATAAAAACAGCAGCTGTACAGTGTCATTTTTTGTTGTTCAAAGTGATTATTGCAGACAGTATAAAATATTTCTTGTTAGAGTAGTTGTGGTAGGATTAAAAACCATTAACACTGTTGACCTAGCCTTCTCTTTCCACAGCCAGGGTCACAGACCCCCTTTTCTCTGGAGCTGCAGTAGAGACTTGACTACAATTTGTCCATGCGTCTAGTCATGTAGTGATGCTTCTGATATGCTGAAACCCAGCTGTCTGGTTCCAGTACACTTTACAGAAAAC